GAAGAGCAGCAGGCAAGAATCACCAGGCCCATCACAAAAGCTACTTAGTACAATCTGTGTCCTGGCAGTCAATGAGTCTTCTCACATATGAAATGCACTCTCTTCCTTTGAAAGGCCTCAAAAGCCTCATCCCATTATAGTATCACAATGAAGCCTAGAGTCTCAAAGCAAGACCAGGTCAAGGAGTGGATTAATACCCTTGAGTGTGGTTCCTTAGGCTCATTCCCATATTACGAATCCTCTCAATCTGTACACCTATGAAAAGGAGATAAATTATTTGTCCCCTACACATTCAACATACAAAAAAGAGGCACGCATAAGGTAGAGTGAGGGTTGATGTTAACTTGACCAGGCAAAGAAATATCAGGTAGCTGTCTGCAATTTCTGGAAGAAACGAGCATTTGAATCAGAAGACTGAGTAAAGAAGACATGCCCTCACCAATGCAGACAGGCATCACCCAGTCAGAAAACTCAGACAGAACAAAAACGTGGAGGGAGGGCAAATTTACTCTCTCTCTCTCATTTATTTATTTATTAAATTAACTTCTTATTATTCTTTTTCAGTTTGACCAGACACACACACACAGAGAGAGAGAGAGAGAGAGAGAGAGAGAGAGAGAGAGAGAAAGCAAGCTGCCAGGTCCAGGACTTAAAACTGCAGTCAGTCATGTGGGAGTCCAGCACACCACCACACTACCACCGGCCCCCCTTTTTAAAAAAAACGAAATTTGGTAGAGGGCATGTGCCACTGCTGGAGAGAGACAGAGAAACAGAAAGCAAGAAAGAAAGCACCTCCCCGATAAGGGTTGGTCATGCCGCAAAGCCTTCTCCATTTCTTCTTTCGGGATTTTGGGTGTGTGTAGGCAGGGACCTGAAGTGTTCCTCAAGCTGCTGGGGGTATGCAGTTGGCCATGTGGGATCCAGCTGCCTTAACCACCATGCCACTGGCTGGCATCAAATGTATTCACTCTCTTGAGCTGAGACATTCTCTTTTCCTGCCCTTAGCTATCTGTGCTCCTGGCTGTGGGTCTTCAACCTCCAGGACTTATACCAGCAGCTTTCTTGTCCTCTGGCTTGCAGATGGCACGTTGTAGGACTTCTCAGCCTCCACAATAGCATACAACAATTCTCATGATAAATCTCATATATTTATATACATATACTACTAGTTTTCTCTGTAGAATCCTAACTAATGATGGTCTCATTAAAAATGGGGGAAAGAGGGACACATAAAGGAGTCCGGTTCACAGCAATTCTGAAATCCAGTTGGGCAAATATTGGAACTTCTATGATTAACTCTCAAAGCCTGAGAATAATTGTCTATGGCTTTTAGCTCTTCACTCTTGTGTCAGCTGCACTCTGAGTCATCCTTTCTCATAAAAAATATGGCATGTCAGCACTTGAGCTGCTCTTATGTCTGCTTCCTGTCAGGAGAATTCTGAGGATCTAAAGGTCTCTTCATTGTGTACTCTGTCTTCCTTAGTCCAAGAGTCCAAATATAATTCTTTCAATAACTTTATAAATTCCTAGAAATCTTTTTGCTGTTTGCTACATTAGACAAAATCCACACCTACAAATCTCCCTGAAATTTCTTCTCTGTTTTGGGTTCCAGTCAAGAGAGCTGAGGAACAATGACCTTAAGTTTAGTTGAGGTCTTATTGTTTGATTGAGAACATTGGTGAGGTATATCCAGAATCTTTTAGGATGTTTGTCACAATTGAATAGTTTTTTGAGGCACCACCTTCGATCTTTCTTGAGGTCCTAATAAAACATTATACAGTGATACCTTCTACTTTAGTATTAGATCATTTAATGGACTAAATGTTCCTCCTTCACAATCCAATTTATATGAAGCTCTAATCCCCAAAGTGATGGTATTTTGAGATGGAGTCTTTAGATAATAGGTTTAGATAAAGCCATGAGGGTGGGGCCTACACTATGGGATTCGTGTCCTTATAAGAAGAGAGATTAGAGGTCTCTTTCCCATGTGATGACTCAGTATGAAGGTGTGGTTATTGGCAAGCTATGAAGTGGGCTGTCACCAGGAACTGAATCTGCTGGTATCTCAATCTTCAGAACTGTCAGAAGTAAATGTTAAGTTACTTGATCAATGGTATTTTGTTACAGCAGTTCAAGCAAAAACAAACATTTTACTCTCTGTGTTGATTTTGAACTTTGCTTGAAATCCATTGTTTAATTTTAGTATTAGAGAAAATGTAGAAATTCAAAAAATTTAAAGTCCTACCTCCTTACTACTTAATAATCCTCATGGTTTTTCTTCTAACATTTTATGATAAGCAGCAAGAAACCAGGAGGCACCCGCCGTTTAGAAATGTCCTTTGCTAAATCACCTAGTTCATTTGGAATATTTTCTTTTTTAATTAAATTTATTATTATTCTAAAATTTGACTGGAGGGAGACATGGAGAGGGAAAACGAGAAAGCAGGCTGCCAGGTCCGGGACTTGAACCATGGTTGCCCATGTGGGAGTCCAGTGCCTTAACCACCACACCACCTGCTGGCCCCTCATTAGTCATATTTTCAACTATCTGTATACCCGCAGATGACCGTGTTGCTAAAGCTATTTCCACTTCATAACAAGGGTCTCCTTTCCTCCAGTTTCCAATGACGTTTTCTCATTTCCTTTTGAGCCCTTACTGGCAGCATCCTCAAAGTTCACATTTCTACTAAATTTGTTTGAGATAATTTAGGTTTTCTCTAGCACATTGCTCAAAAATTTTCCAACCTCTGTAGTATACTTCCCAGCTCTAAAACCATTCCTATATTTTGTAATAGCATACCACCTCCAGGAAAAAAAAAAAAAAAAAAAAAAAAAAATCTAAAAAATAAATCTAATAAAATCTATATTAGATATCTACGCTACCTGACAAAATACCCCCAAATTTAGTGCCTCAAAATTGTTATTTTTTTTAGGTTTTGCCATAGGACACATACACTCACTGGAGAGGGAAAGGAAGACAGCAGCCCCCCGGGGGAGGGGGGTAGGGATGGCCACAATGCAATCCATTCTTGTTTATTCTCCTCTTGGGATTTTGGGCACACATACACACATGCCTGGGGTGTTTTTCAAGTTGCATGATACGGGACTCGAACCACAAGGTTGACTGTGGGGGATCCAGCTATCTA